ACAACGGTTTCAGCAAGCTTCTCAATCGAGCAATGTTCATTTACCACCATGTGTTGTTCCAACTATAAGCAATTTGCTATAGCTGAGCCAAAGTGTCAAGATTGGGGTTGCCAGATTTTTATAACGCAGAGACTGTCATGATAAACGTTTAGCCCGATAAGTATCACGAAGAGCAATGAGTTTTCATGAGCGGGTGGTTTGAATTCACGCATCAAGAATTATTGAATACCTTCGTAAGGAGTTGATTTCGGTAATTTTCGTTGTGCGCATCGTGTTCTACGTGAAATTTTGGTTAAGAAGCATGTATCAGAATGCTGAAATTCATACCTTGTCTAGTGGTCCATTGCCCCGCTGCTGGTACCCTTATCAAGCACAGGTCACCTAAGTTCATCAGAAACCCCACTTAGATTTGTCGATTCTGCTTAGGGCAGGGCAGGATAGCGGTGTCGCGATGGACAGATACCGGAGGCTTGAAGCGGAATCTGCCAATATCTGCCGATCATCCGTCGACCGCTGGTATCGAGATCTGCCGCGGCGTTGCGCGCTCGCCTTAAATCCAATGATTTCTTCTCTTCGGGTCTCCGTGCGATGCGATGGTGGTCCAGGGACTCCACGGTCGATGCACAGCACTAAGGAAGAACGCCGTATGAGCCTTCAGGCGTTGCCAAGTTTCCTCCGATAAAAACCGAAGTTACTGGGAAAATTGCGAATATTATTTTACAAAATTTTCAGACACTTTTATAGGTACGCAATTTAATGTAAAATATCTGAAAATTTCAAGAAATTATATGCATAAATGGACGGAGCTAAACAGAAAGGAACCAAACCACATCGGGATCGAACCGAGAAAAAGAGGTGTGAAGTTTGGCTCTTGCATAAGGCTCAATGTAAAAGATAAAGTTCAAGTTCAATTTCTGCAAAATTTGCTCCAGCGAAAACTTTGAATTTTTGGCGATAGATAGTAGAGCATTGGTTGAGTTCAAAACCACTCATAACTCAATTTTTTCCACAATGTGGGTTGGCTCCTTTCTGCTTAACTCAGTCCAGATGTTGTCAAAAATACATGTTTTATCAGTGGAAATTTGGCAACTCTCGAATGTTCATGCGGCGTTCTTCCTTAGCACGGCAGTAGCAGCATGTCTCAGGGTGGAAGGCCCATACGCGACTCAAAACTAGGTGTACACTCCGGCAGGCGCAGTATAGGCAATTTGCACATCGAATCGTGCGCGGTGTGTCCAAAGTGTAGTGTTTGAAGTATTTTCACGCTTTTGAAGGCGCCATGAATGGTAACCCGGATTCGCCTCTCTTTCCCGCGATGATTCGAATTCGCGGCGCCGGCAAATTAAAATTACTAGAAGCGCACTCTTCTCACTGTGAACTTTAGAAGTACACGCAGGGAATTTGATTTTGTTTAAGAGTAATAATTGCTGCTCAGACTTCGATTTTTGTGAAAATGACTGCAGCTGCACTATAATTTTTTGTGTTTTATCACCTCGGCTACATTAATTTTTTTTTGATGAAGTTAATTCGACCGCCGATTTTTTTGGGGGTTGGGGGGGGGGGGGGGGGGGG